CGAATCGTACTGCTGAAATATCGTTAGCCGGTGGCTCCGCCTCTAAACACCTCACACTCGGAGACCAAGGCACCCCTCAAGGAGCGATTTTGTCTCCATTTATATTTAACCTTGCTATGTGCACGCTGCCTTCTTCACTTGATGAGATCCCAGGTATTCGTCATACCATCTATGTAGACGACGTCTCGCTGTGGACAACTATGGGTTCAGACGGCCAGATAGAGGAGCCCCTCCAACGTGCGGCCAACGCCGTCGTTAGCCACGTGACACAAGCACGCCTCGCATGCTTGGAGAGCAAGTCAGAGCTCTTGCTGCTTAGCCCTCCTGACCGCCATCGAAACAAGCACCTTTCCCAACCGGCCATCCACGTCTATGTCAACGGTGTAGCCGTACTGCAAGTTGACCACATGCGCATTTTAGGCCTATTCATTCAATAAAATCAACGGAATACCATCGCACTGGAACGCCTCACTGTTGCCGTCACTCAAACAACAAGCCTCATTGCTCGCATGTCTGCTCGAAAGCAAGGCATGAAAGAAAAAGAGCTACTCCAGCTTATCTATGCCTTCGTCATATCTCGTCTCACGTACGCGCTACCATACCTGCGCCTACTGAGAAGCGAGAGGCACAAACTGGACTGGCTTATTCGCAAAGTGTACAAGATAGCACTTGGCCTCATTCGTACGACCTCTACGTCGCATCTCCTCAGCCTTGGCATCCACAACACTGTTGACAAACTCATCGAAGTGCATCGCATAGCACAGATTCAGAGACTTCGCGGTAGCAAGACCGGCCGCTGGATACTCGCTCGCATAGGACTCACCGCCTCGTCATCGAGCGCAGACCCGGTATCTATACCTTCGACTTTATGTCGACATTTTCTCATTAAGCCACTGCCGAAAAACATGCTTGCAGGACACCATGACGATAGACGGCGAGCACGAGCCCAAGCCTTGCACGACTACGCCTCGTAGCCTGATCTGGCCTACGTGGACGCGGTCCGCTACCCCTCTCAACCGAGCGCGTACGCATTTAGCGTAATAACTACTCACACCCTCCTCAACACCAACGCAATCTTGCGAGTAGCAGGCTCTGTTCATGCCCTCCATTTCGCCAAAGCCGAGGAAGCGGCCATAGCTCTCGCGATGTCCTCCGGGTTCGCTACGATCCTCAGCGACTCCAAAAACACTATCTCCTATTTCGCTCATGGTACCATGCTCCCGGTACGTTACGGCTTCTTCAGTCCCTCGCCTACCTCGAAAACGAGGATCTGCCTCCCATATCTCTTATCTGGGTCCCGGCGCATGCAGGAAACTCGGAGAACGAGGCCACCCACCGACAAGCTCGAGAATTCGTCAACCGGGCGGTGGGCCCCGCCACAAACCCAGAGAACACCAGCGATTCCCTCATATCCTATCACGAAATCGCTCAGCACTATCGCCTCGCACGTTGAACAAAACTACTACCGCATCCCAAACTAGCAAAATCACAAGAAATCACATGGCGCCACCTCCAAACGAACTTGTTCTCGTGCCCGCAGGTATACGCACACAGTTACCCCGATCTCTTCAGTCCGCATTGTTGAAAATGTGGCTCCGTCGCCTCCCTCTCTCATATACTATGAAACTGCAGCGAGGATCCACCCCTGCCTGATCTCCTGACCACTTCCTCGTCCGAGGCGTGGGAAAGAGTACTTTGTGATACGATTCAGAAGTACTGCTCCGGGCCATATAGCGAGCTGAGGAGGTGGCGGCCAGGCACGGCCTGACCACCATTCCTCTGTGAATTTTTTTTCACTTAAATAAAGTTGTTTCTCTCTCTCTCTCATACTATCAATCAGGTAATAGCAGGACACCACAAATGCGCAAAATACATAGCTTTCATAGTTTACGAGAAAGTGTTTGACTCAGTCGAGACATCAGCAGTGATGCAGGCATTACGAAGTCAGGGCATCGCTGAACCCTATATAAGTATATTAGAAGGAATCTGCAGCAGATCCACAGCCACCATAATTTTCCATAAAGAAAGCGACAGAATTCCAGTAAAGAATAGTGTAAGGCAGGGAGATACGGTCTCACTAATGCTATTCACCGCATGTTTACAGGAGGTTTTCGGGGCCCTTGAATGGGAAGAGTTAGGAATAAGGGTTAATGGAAAGTATCTTAGTAACCTGCAATTCGTGGATGACATTGCTTTGATGAGTAACTGAGTGGACAAATTACAGCTCATGATTACATAACTGGACACTCAAAACAGAAAAGTAGGTCTGAAAATTAACATGCATAAAACAAAAGTAATTTGCAACAGGATTGCCAGAAAACAGTGCTTTGTTATAAGGGGAGAGTCATTGGAAGTGGTAAAGAAATATGTCTACTTAGAACACGTAGTAACGGCGGAGCCGAACCATGAGAGTGAAATAACTAGCAGAATAAGGATGGGGTGGATCACATTCAGCAAGCATTCTCAAATCATGAATGGTAATCTGCCTTTAACCCTCAAGATGAACGTATATAACAGCTGCATCTTGCCAGTACTTACCTACAGAGCAGAAACTTGGAGGCTTACAAAGAGGGTTCAGCTTAAATTGAGGACGATGCAATGAGTGATGGAAAGGAAAATGACAGGTGTAGTCTTTAGAGAGCAGAGTGGGTCAGGGAACAAACTGGAGTAAAGGATATCAGAGTTGAAATCAAGAAGAAATGGAAATGGGCCGAACATGTAGTGTGTAAGCAGGATAATTGCTGGTCATTAAACTAGATTCCCAGAGAAGGCAAACCCATGAAGGTGGTACAAAAAGTTAGGTAGACCGATGGAATTAAAAAGTTCGCAGGTATAACGTGGCAACGGAAAGTACAAGATCGGGTTGATTGACGGATCATGGGGAGGCAGTGGGCATAGTCAGGCTTGTTATGATGATGATGATGATGATGAAACTTGGACTACTTTTGGTGTAGTAGTCTTTGCTGCAATACTTAAGGTTGCATTATTTTTGTCTGCATTATAGCCACAGGGATTAAATTTGTCATACCTTTGCCTCATTTTATGTTTATTTCACTGCAGTTTCTGTTCTGAAATGTCCAACAACTATACAAAAATGTGCGTGATCCTGACTATAACTATTCTGTTCAAACACTTATTTGCATAGGGCCCTATTGAAATCAATATTGAAAACTTTCAAACAGTTGCATACCTCTACTTTGATGGATTTTCTGTGTGCACAAATTTTATGAAACTGTGCATAAATGTGGCACCTTAATCAAATATAAATGATGCCAGTCCAGCCCTTCACTCCAACCCACCCCTTTCTTTTTTTTTTAACTATGGCAAACTTTGGTAGTACAACTATGATATGGGTGGTGTCCTTCGTTCTTCTGTTGAAATAATACTTCGCTTTTGCACCCCACATAATCGTCTTGAAAATTATGTTAAATCTACTTTCCCCGTGAAGTTTTCTCTTTCATAGAAGATTATAACAAATGTTGATGCCAGAAAACTAGTGAACTCTGTCCTCAGTGATGAATTGGGTGAGGTAGATCAAATTAATAGCATCATTCATGTGCAAAAATTATATATGCTTCTTTTTGCTCAACATTCACATAAAAACTGCCAAATTATATTCAGTGCCTAATGTCATTGAGTAACAAAAGCCTGTAGCTTCTTTTTTAGTGGCTGTATTCACATGAATACAACACTCCGTCATTGTACCACATCTCCTGCACATTGTGTACATTGAAAATGCAGTACTACATCTCCTGTATATCGTGTACATTGAAAATGCAGTAACTCAGCTGGAACTAATGTAGTACTGATGTTGCTCTGCATTGTAAATTGTAGCCGTGATATTTAGAGAATGCTTACTTAACTATGTTAGATCTAAAGATGGGTGGAAAGTAGGCCTAATTGTGTTTCATTAATCTTATTACAAGAGTATATGGTATGAGATGGTGAAGCAGGACAACAAACCGAACAGATGACTAAAGGCCCAACAGGTTTAGGATGCATACAGAAATGCTCACTAATTAAAATGGGTGTCAACAATGGCATGTGAGGCAAGGGAAAGCATCTCTACATTTGCAGAGCATACTCATTGGTACTATTATACCTTGGAAACGTCAACAGCCAAACACATTTTTGATTGTTTTTTCTTTATATGGTTCCTTTTAAAATATAAACAACGCCCATGATAATACATGTAAAGGGCGTCATCGTGTAAACATTGCATGTGACCACGGTTAATTTTGCTGTTTTAAATATTTTTGTGTCCAGAAAGAGATCATTATTTGCACTAATCATTTGGAAAAGTAGTTAGAAAAATCTCGCACTTCTGGCTGCCAGAGAGCGAAAACCTCTATTTCTCCCAGTTTTCTTTTTGAAAATAACACGCAATTTTTACGCATACGCCCTCCTGCTGGTCTTTAGAAATTATAATTTGTTCCCCCCTTCTCACCAGAAAAAAAAAATTTTAAAATCAATGGCCCTAGCTTGGTGTAGGGGAAAGCTGTAATTTGAGTACAAGTAAAGGTCAAAATTTATTTTTTATGTCGAATGGGAAGCTTTTATATTTTAACTGTTCCCTGACAATATGAAAAGAGATAAAAAGAGAATATATCTTGCTTTGAAACATCAGTTGCATTGTAGGAGGAATAATTGGAGCAGGTTTTTAAAATTTTTATTGGTAATGCAGAGATCAGTTTATGTAATAATTCTTGTGCTGATGGTGTCACTTTAATGATGTATTGAAGATTTAAAAAGGAGATGGCAGGAAATACTTTTTAATGATAATTCAGAAATCCCATCAATATCTGGCCATCATAAGTGCATTGTTTTACCACATCTAGAACAAACTACCGTATTCAGCCAGTCACGATCAAGTACTTGATTATAAAAACTTTTATGAAAGCCTATTTCCTTGAAATTAAGAGTGACATCATATGACTCAGCCAATATAAAAATGCTGTAGGTTTCATACTTCACACATGCTTTCACTTGTGTGCTTTCAGGGTGCAGGATGATACAGATGCCAGGCAGTGTTGAACGTATCTGAATTGCTTTGGCTGTCCAAAAAGAAGAGCCAAAACCCGGCATGAGGCTTAATATTTCAAAGAATGAGGAACATTATTGATGCGATAGCTCACTCCCTCTTTTGAAGTTCAACAAAAATCGGTCAGTAAGATGTTTTCTTTGTGTGCTCTAGTTCAGGCTCTGCCGAAAGCTGAAGCCGTTTTCTTCTCTAGCTTCACATTGCTGAATGATTCTCCTTTATCTGGGCACATATTACCGGGCACATTTTTGCTGTGTAATATTTCTTTCAAGCCAACTGTTGGACCAAGCCATTGGTTGGGTTATTAAATTGTGATAATAACTCAGTCAGAAATAACCCTAACCTAATTAGCACTGTTCCCTGTGTCCCTTTCATCTTGTGTCCTCGTGTGTGTTCGCTAGAGCTTCAGTATGCAGTAATTTACTCCCATTCCTTAAGTTTAAGAAAGCAGAACAAGGCAAGTTTTTTATTTTACAGTTGGCGTAGTTGAACCAAAAATTAAAGAAGCTATGGAGCAAGTGACTGGTATCAGTGCAATGCAAGAAATACAGGTTTAAACTTAACATCAGGGAGTCATGGACTCATAATTACCTACTTAAGTGTCAACAAGTTTTTTCTGTTGTCCGTTGTCACCGATTTTACCTTAGTACTGTTCAGTAGGCTTGTGCGAGTAGTGAATTTTGGGATCGAAGCGAATTCGAAGCAAATAGTCATTTTGGTTGAATAATTTCGAATTGAATTCGAATAGTATGTATGACATATAAAAAAAGGGAATATTTGTCATAACCTCACTAACCTTATTTATTTTGAATTTAAATAGGGGCTCTATGCAAATGCCTTTTTTTTTTTCGTTGAAAGGAAGTCGAAACAACTTTGATTAGTAGTTTCGCTAGGATCCGAGTAATAACCTGTAAGATACATAACGTTTTAAAATTTTACTTAAATCATATAAACCATCATAACAAGCTCAATAAAATGAAGGATTGATTTGAGGGTAACATGTTCCTTTAAAGGGGCCCTGCAACATTTTTTCAGGTATCCATGGAGCCAGTGAACGTGCTTGTCGCCTCACAAATTTACCGCCGCAAAGTTTCTAGAATCAGTCCAGTACGAGCGGAGTTCCAGAAATTTGTCGCATGCTGCAGTTGCATTCTCCATTCTCGACCCGTCAAAAGAGCTAGAAGCTAAGTAGGGAAGGATGGCACGGAAAAAGAAAAAAACGTCATGGGCGCCTAGTGACCTTGAGCATTTTTTCTTTCTCTTTTTTCTTCTAATATGAGGCCTTTCAATGCGATCCTGAACGTACTTGTGGACAAGCGGCGGCCTCACGCGGCGGTCCGATAACGACGAGCGCGCCATGATCAAATCAGCAAATGACTGTGACCAGAGCCGTATTTTCTTTCTTGGCTGTGACAAGTGATTTTTGAGTTTGTAGTGTCCTTTGCAGAGGGAAGAGAGCAATTTTTAGCTTTGAAAATTCATTGTGAATTTCAGGCCACGTGCTGCGCTATAATACTTGCCTCGTGTGTTCTCGGTAGCCTCGACTACCGATCGGCAGCGTTTTCTGACCATGCTCAGTAAGTGTTGCAGGGCCCCTTTAAATCTGAAGGGTGGCTTCGCGGCAAAGCAAATTTCTCCTGAGTAGATGTTTTCACGGTTTTGCATTACCACATTGCAGTGAAACAACCTTTACAGGCAGACTAATGTTCATTTATTTGTTTATTGCGAATACTTCGAAAATATTCGATAATTTAAATTCGAATCGAAGCGAATTCGAATACTCACCTATTTTTTCGAATATTCGAATATTCGCACAAGCCTACTGTTCAGCTTTCATGCTACCAACATGAAAGCTTACGCACAGTACTACATAGATTCCAGAAATTATTCGTAGATTGAATGTGTTCATTCAGCTGAAACCCTGGGCAATACAAGCATGCTCTTCTGGGTCTTTTTAACAATCCTATTTATTTGGGAAAACACTAACAAGGCAGTGATATCTATAGTTATGTGCATCATGGATAAACTGGCAGGAGTTACATTTTTATGGCCGGAATGTCTGAAATTTATCATATTGTTATATATCACCTGGCGTACGTGTTTTTGTTGAAATTGAGTTCATAGACTTTAAACAGACATGTCAGCAAACTAAAAGCCAAATAAAGAGCTCATTTTTGGCTCAAACCACACAGTGAATTATCACACCACTGTATGAAGTGAATTGAAAAAAAAAAGGCATTTAGGAAAGATTATTTCTATTTCTAGATAAAATATATACTTTGATGCTTTTGGTTTGCCATAACATTTTGAAATGCCCTTGTCTACACACTTTTGTGGTCAGAGCATATAAAGTTATCTATTGAATAGTTATAAATTGCCATGCATGCGTGTCTTTGACAGCCATTAAATTTTTATACATCGAAGGGACACATCAGTAAACTCAAAATAGCAAATGATAAGATCATAGTTAGCTCGACCCTTGTAGTAAATCCTCACACCATAGTAAGAAGCACATTGAAATCAAAAGCATTTGCTAGGAAAAATTATTTCTTATTTCTATTTCTCATGGAAATGTATTCTTATGTACTGGGTTTTTCATAACATCTTAAAATGCCCTCAAAGACTGCTTTTTTAGGTGTGGCAATAAGGCCAGTTTGGAGAAGTGGCCTTCCCTTAGTTATTTAAAAAAGGTTTGCTGTGAAAATTAGGCACTCATTATAAAGACCTCATCATTTTTCTTTGGATGGGATGTTGAGGTCCTCAGACAGACATGGTGCCATTAATTTAGCTTTCACAAGTTGCATGACATTAAACACAAACACAAACATGGCACAGAGGAGGAGTAAAAAGTGCACTTTCTCCAACCACCTCCTTGTTACACTTTCAGCATTGAATCTGCAGCAGCTCGCCGATTTGTCTATAATATTGTTCAGGATTTTTGGACAGAATTCTCAGCTAAAATGTGCTTTCCAAAAGTCTCCTCGTAACCAGGCATTTCAACTCCAAATTTTTGTTCATTGTAACATATGAAGGGTTCTCTTTGTCTAGCTGTTTATCTTTAGAAAGGTGTCTAATTCATGAAACAAAACTAGTACTGCCAAAGTGCTTTGCATTAGTTTTCATAAGTATGGAACTGACATTTTGTTGCAGTTTCTTTTATTTGGTTAAGTATGGTTATACTATTACTGAAATTGCCATTGTGAATTTGATGCATTTACAGGTATTCTAAACATTCTTATGTATATTCTTTTCACTATCTGTGCATATGTCAATGTTTTAGTTTTTATCGTTTTTTTATGTAGCAAGACATTGTTAAACAACTCAAAGAAAACTGCATGTATTGAAAACTAGTTGAAGTTAAATATCTCTGCAGCTGCTTAACTTCCGATGATGTTAAGCAGCTTTATGAAACTCTACATTGATAAAGTTTCAGTAGAGATGCCATCTTTTTGCTGGCAAGATACTAGCTTTTGTAGCTATTTTTTAAACCTGCTTTACATGCAGGGCTGTATGTATTATAGGGAAAAATTATGATAGTATAAATGGTTTACATTGACTTGCCACGTAAGCTTTGACCACTTGCTAACACCCCATTCGTGCTTTGCTCATTCGAGCACTGTTGCAGATATTGTGCCAGTAATGCAACCATGATGTGCCACTGTTATTATGCTTATTGAGCAGAAAAAAAAAAAAGTTAACTTTGGTGCAGCTTTCAAGTGAATGCATGTTAGCTGAAGGAAATTGGTGCAGAAGTGGTATGGAAATGTGGTTGTTTGGCGCAGAAGTGTTATGGAAATGTGGTGTCAAGATTGGTTCATATGTGTGCCCACGAAAAATCAGTGTATGTATCCGTGTGCGTGTGTGTGTGCGTGTGCGTGCGTGCGTGCGTGTGTGTGTGTGTGTGTGTGTGTGTGTGTGTGTGTGTGTGTGTGTGTGTGTGTGTGTGTGTGTGTGTGTGTGTGTGTGTGTGTGTGTGAAATTGGTGCAGAAGTGGTATGGAAATGTGGTTGTTTGGCACAGAAGTGTTATGGAAATGTGGTGTCAAGATTGGTTCATATGTGTGCCCACGAAAAATCAGTGTATGTATCCATGTGTGTGTATGTGTGTGTGTGCATGTGCGTGCTTGTGTGTGGGGGGGGGGGGGGGGGGGGGAACGTGCATTCGTGCAACTGATGTGAAACTGACTTGGCAACTAAAGGCTATTAGCTTATTTTTCTATTACAAAAATATAAACTCTCTTTATGAGTGAGCTAGGCTACACAAGCCATAGAAATTCCATGAATAAGAAATATTTTGAGTGTGTGTATGTGTGTGTTTTTAGTAAAAGAAAGGAAAAAAAGTTTCTCAGGCTGCCTAGCAATACTTTCAAATTTGGCAAGTTTTCAATTTTTTTCTTTATTTGTAACATTTTGCACATAATTACAATAGAGTAATTGCTACAGACTTGTTTTTCCTATTGATTGCACCATTTAGTGAAGCCAAGCCAAGGTGTGGCACCCTTATTCTTAATTGTTCAAACACCCTAGAGTCTACTTGTGGGAGGTGTGAAACAGGGGGTGCTTTGTGCCTGCATTTTTTTTTTTCTGTTATAATTGTGCAAAAGAATGCCATGTATTTTGTGAGCTACTTTTGCAAGACACATCGAAATTGTGATTTCATGGCTTAACAAACGAGTATTTGTTGTAATTATGTCTTATGTGATTTTTTGTAGCTTCATTACTTTTAAAGCTGGTTTTATAAACTTTATAATACTTGCAAACTTATTTACTTGGTAATACCTTGCAAGTTTACTTATATACTAGCTTTTCATTCTCCCATCATGACGTGATGGGAATGCTGATTCAACTTACATTCATGAATTGCCAGTGAAGTGAACTTTATTGAAGTAGCAGTTATTTTATTAAGTAGTGCCACCTGGCCATTTTGAAGCATGAACTTGTTTACTGTACACTTGCATCTTCTTTTTTTTTTTTTTTTTTAAGATGGTTTTAAATGTACTTGTCTGTGGACCCAGGCTAGTCCCATTGTACATTGTTAGTTTGTATAGGAACTGTGAGGACCATCATATCATCAACCTTGCAGTGTATGTTTGGTCTTCATGGCACTTAACATGCAACAAGTGCAGGAATCATTATTTTAACATAGTGCAAGACATTTTGTTATTGTTCCCCGCAGTTGCTCACTGACCGGGGTTTGCCAAGCTGTTGTTGAGGTAAGATGTGCTTTAACAAGGTTTTGCTCAATGAAAACATTACAAATTCTACACTGTTGACATTCTTGCATATTTGTTTCCATAGGTTTTAGTTAAAAGACAAAAAGAAACAACAGTGTCCGCTGACAAAGATAATTTATTCTTACACAAAAAAACACTTTTTCAGTAAGGTACATTTGCATATACTTATGAGCCATGTTTTATTGGCTTATTGCTATGACGTTGTAATTTAAAGTGTGCCAGCATTCTTAAATATATTACTGATGTTAGCACAGAGTTACTGGAAAAACTGTAATTGTGTTCTGTTGGCCATAATCAAAGATGCCCTACATGTATATTAGTGCACTTTTTAACCATATGTCTTCAGCATCTACACTAGCCTTCTTTTTATGCTGAAGGTTTGAATTGCAGTTATTTGTTTTCACACATCCTGACCTTGTTTGAAAGTGCCATCACTGACCCCAGCATGTCAATTCTTTTCCACTTATATAGTTAAATTTTGTTATAATGAATACTTTTATTACTAATTATTAGTCATAGCAAGCTAAATATGAACTTTTGTTGGTCACGAATCATTTCAGCTACATTCATTCACTCTATAATCAAACTAGAAATGCGGAGCTGCTACAGTATTGTCAGAAACAAAAGAACATGTGAGGCTGAAAATTCAAAACGTAGTGTAAAAAGACAAATAAATGAACAAAACTGGACAAAGCTTCAAATCAATTGGTGCTCCCAGGAATCATATTTGGGGACTGTGCTTCTGCCAGTGATGACTTAGATTTGGCACCCGAGCTGACTGATCCGGAAATTGTTAATCATCTAAGGTTGCCCGAGCATACCAGCAGCAGTGACCGTGAAGATGACTGTAAAATTAGTGAACCACTCATAAACACTGTGGACATAACCAGGATGATGAGAAGTTACTCAATTGGAGAAACTTCCAACGACCAAAACTGTGGCAGTAGAAAAGGGCATCTCTTGTATGGACATTGGAAAACTTCAGTTTGCTTTCTGTGAAAAGCCACCAGGCAAAGATTACAGTCTTCTTCAATAAATGAACACAGGCCTGTTTCACCAAATGAACTTTGTTCGGTTGCAAGTTTAGGTTCTCATTCTCCACTTTATTTGATAGTTCAAAATGCTACAAACAGAGAGGAAGGAATTATCTTGCCTATAGTGGGTTTGAAGCAAAGAATAACACATTATCATATCTAGGATATTTGCACAAGCCTGGTTGCCAATTCGCTAGAGCAGATATTTATCTCTAGTGTTACAAAAATATGAAATAGGGCAACATAATTTATGGTTCTAATGCTACTTCATTGTAATGGAGTTCGACTGCATAAGCCTTGGACAAGCTGGGCTCGTCTATAGTTACATTGTCTTGCTGTCTGTGTACTCCGCTCAACTGGCATATATGATAGCCTGAGTGTTGGCAGTGTCATGAATTTTTGCATGCCTCTCATCCAATATGTTTGTAGAAAAAATGGACTCTATGCTACCAGTTAGCATTTAATAAGCATTGCCCATGCAATGCACTCATCTGTACTGTAAAGTGCACTCATCTGTATTGTAAGAAAAAAAGGAAAAGCCCGAGAAACCTCAGCCGTTATTGAATATGTTAGCCTGTGTTTTACAGGGTGAAAATTGTCGCTTGAATAATGAAGTATTCTTACAGCAAGTTATCTCAAGGGCAGTGATATATATGATGGTTTGTCTCTCTTGTTTTGTCATCAGTGCTAATTGCTATGTATGTCGTAAATTTTGACACTCTTCATGTAACAGGAAGCTCAGCAAGTTTGTAATGATCTATGGTTTGAATGAAAATTAGAAAAAAATATTCTTTTTTCTATAGTTTTACTACTATTATTCTTTTAGAAATGGCATACCAACAAACCCAAATGGTCAGAACTATAGCTTAGACCTATACTATACAAATAAAAAATAATCAGAAAGATCACGAAAGGCAAATTGCAGGAAGAAAAAAGGTTCTCTGTGGGGGCTCTGTGGAAGAAATTGACCTGTGAGTCATGGACACATGGATTCTCAACCATGCTTAGAAATGACAACAGTTCATTATAAAATGTGTTTCCTTCATTCCTCTTCTGTCTGTATATTTTTGCCCATTCAGACGATGAATTTTTTTCTAGCATTACCAAACTCCAATCAAGTAAGGTTACTATGAGGTACCTGTCTGATCAATTGGTTTAACAGTGGGCTCCACTATCACAGAGTAAAGCGACACATGTTACAACTTGAAGCACGAAACTTACTAAGAGCTGGATTGCCTCATGGCCTAGATGCATAACCTCTAGATTAGAGAGCCACTGAGTAGGTGATTTACAGGCTTGCGCAGTGCTTGCCTTGATTTGTGGCTTGTGGTTGCATACATTGGCAGGAAGTTTGCTTATTCGTGGTGACCATCTTACAAGAAACTACTGTTTCTTCAAAGCTGTAATTGGCTTGTATTCATGAACAATAAGTCTTTCTAATTTTTGAAACACCTATTTACATAATGCCACAGGAAACATGAACATTACACTTGACTGAGAAGCTTGCCTTTTTGTACATCTGCAAACTTTGTAACTAAATTTTGCCTTAGGTGAGGTGTTGTGCCTGTGAGTTGGTAGCCGAATCAACAGAAGTGATAGTTTTATGTCCACAGACACATTACACAAGCTGGTCTTCAGTCTTTTTGAGTGGGTAGGGATGGCAAATGAGTGACTTTTGTGATCTCTTTTTATAACATCCATCAGTGTGTCGAGATTGCAAAAAAAAAAAGAAAACATTTGTCAAAATGTGCACTATTTTTCTACATGCGCATGCTTTCATGCAGAGGTGTGCTTCATTCAGTCACAGTGTCATAGTGTATTCAACCATGTGTTTTCTGTATATGATGAAATGTGCTGCTGCGTGAAAATGTCACCTCCATTTTGCTATGCAGCTTCTGTTACTAGGCTCGTGTTGGGGATCATTATAGAAGCCCTTGGAGTATATTTATCACTTACAGAGACTTTTTGAGAAATGAGCTACATAAACAACTAAAGTTCCATCACAAGGTTTGCTTGGTTGTTTATTTTAATGTTATAAGACATACAAAAAAGAAAACCCAAAAATCAATTTGACATCTTTGTGCTCTTTTATCGTTCTTGATAATATTCATACAAAGTCAACCTTATGTGGCAGAGCATTCTCATTGGGAGATGCAACTTACTTTTGTCATTTCTGTGCATTATTGGCAAAAAAGAGACTATGAACACTGAGCTAATGGCACAGTAAAGGTGCCCTGCAAAACCTTTTGAGCATGGTCAGAAAATGCTGCCGAATCGGTATTCGAGGCTCCCGAGAACATGCCAGCCAAATAATATAGCGCAGCATCTGAGCTGGAATTTACAACTAATTCTCAAAGTTAGCTAGAAATTGCTCTCTCTTTTCTCTACAAATGATGCTATACCCAAATTACTGCGTCATTCACACAAGTCTGCGGTCATTTAAGCATTGTGAGCTGCACAGCTGCTGTGACTGCCATAGGATGCCACCACGTGCCTGTGTTTGAGATCACTTCAAAAGTAAGCCACCCATTCGAAGAAAAAAAAAAGAAGAAAATTAAATTCTCAGGGTCACGGCGCAAGCTGACAAAGGAATGCATCTTCTTGCTCTCTTGTCATTTCCCTCCCAGCATAGCTTTCTGCGTGCTCTCTAGTACTAGAAAAGAGAGAGAAGGTGCTTGAAACATGCAACACATCCCTTTAACTCTGGTCATACTTGATGTATCTTAAACCTTTCTGTGAAATGTGATTCATGAGCATCATGCACTAATACTTAGACTTCCATTGTAACTTAAAAAAGTGTTGCAGGGCCTCTAAGTATTGTTACCTATGTCAGTTCTGGATGGAGTATTTTGCAACATATGATACTTTGCTGAAGGAGGTATAGTGTTTTAAATGAACTTGGGACGTGGTGCATTTCAGCAGAAATTCTAAATTATATTTTTACTTTTTTAAGAATGCCTGCCACTAGCAGATAAGTATTGTGTGTAACTTGAGTGGCTCGTCAGTTATGATAAATGGAGCATGACTTGTTGCACAGTAATAAGATATTATTTAGTTGTAACTGTAATGATTGCTATAAATTCAACTAAAATTCATTCGAATAATTCTGGTTCCTTTAAATTGAGGCTCCAGATTCTTGGCATCAAGTTATGCAACTGACACCTTTATAGACTGTCAATAATAATGGATGTTGCAAAGGGTTGAGGTCATTTTCTTTTCACAGAATGACAGTGGACAATTACTAAAGTTTAGGTGCACACTAAACAACCCCAGGTGGTTGAAATTCCTGGAGACCTCCACAACTTCTCATAATTATTGCATGGTTTTGGGATGTCCCCATTTATTATTATTATTATTATTATTATTATTATTATTATTATTATTATTATTATTATTATTATTATTATTATTATTATTATTATTATTATTATTATTAATAATAATACAGTAGAAGAGCACACTGAACCTTAGTGCTAAAGTTTATGTAATCAAATGCTCATAATATCATGTTATATACTATGTTATAAAATGGCATGGAAATACTGTATGGCTAAAAATGTTGTGTGCCCACTTTTATTGCACAAAATTTTAGTCACAGTGATTTTTCAGTGTGTATGGAATCATTCCGATTAAAAGAATATAGGTTTCAATGAAGTGCCTACAAATTACATAGCCTTCCTAAGCTTATAACAGCACATTTTGTTGGAATTGGAATGAATTACTTTTATTTAAAGAGTTATGAACATTCAGGCACACACATCAGTTTTATATGTATTTTAGCTAAATACAAATTCTAAATATTCACTTTTTTGATTTCGTAAATGCAAGCTTATATCACAGACCAAAGAAATGTGCATATCCGTTTATTGACTTTTACCAGTATTGCAACACCACTTTGGTGTGATACATCTGCTGTTTTCACTGTGCACATAGTCTATCATCAGTATGAAAAAATGAAAACTCTTGCCACTTGAGATATTCAAGTTTCGCAAGAACTAATGCAACACATAATTTTTCTTTCTCCCAAATTTTTTGAACCTTGCTGTAAATCTTTAGGGCATAATTGTATATTTGCATGCTTGCACTTTTGTTCCACAGTTAAAACTTTTACAGCACAGAGTTCAAAGTAAAATCTACCACTTTCAATGACTACTCTGTTATGAGGCCATAAAAAGATGCTCGTTCTATTTTTATGATATCATTAAGAAAAGAAACAGTGTAGGGGTGAATGTATAGAACAGGAGGCATGTGTGACTGCTGCAGTCACATTCCAGTACAGACAGAATGCATTTGATAAAACTCTACTTGGCTGAGTAAGAGAAAAACATCAGGCAGCCATACTTCATGCAGAGCTCTCCACTACAGTGCTTCTTGTAGGCCCATATATTACTTTGGTACTTATGCAAGTACTCATAGAAAATTCATGTATTTCTTTATGAGATGCCTGTTGACTTAGTAGTCACACCATAGAGCCTCTAATCCATAAAAGATAGATAGTTAGATATGTGGGGTTTAATGTCCCAAAACCACCATATGATTATGAGAGACGCCGTAGTGGAGGACTCCGGACATTTCGACCATTTGGGGTTCTTTAACGTGCACCCAAATCTGAGCACACGGGCCTACAACATTTCCGCCTCCATCGGAAATGCAGCCGCCGCAGTAATCCATTAAAGAGAATAATGTTACTGTTTCATATGATCAGTTTAAAATGTAAGCCAAGTACAGCATGGCTCAACTCATTTGTTTTTATGAGAACATGGTTGTTTTATAGGTCTCAAAAACATGTTCTTTTTTGCCACTGTGGATATCTCTGCAAACATATCGTAGCACAGTAAATCAAAGATGACAAAATCTCATGCCCAAGAACTGTGCTGCAAAACAAGAACTAAAATTGTGGAATGCAAGAAAGTGTGAAAAACCTTCCATTTTTCTGGCCAGTTTGCCGAAAATTGAAAATAAAAATATATGTAGAAAAAAACATATCCACATTAAAAGAACTTCAGAATATAAATTTCAACAACAAAGCAGCCTAGGAACACTCCTAAAATAAATAAATGCTAAGCACAGTGCCACTCTTTGAACACAAAACTAGAAACCAGTGCCAGCTCTACTACACGTGCAATATAATGTATATATATATTTTTTTATTTCTTTAGCACGCCTACAGAATGTTTCTTCTTTGCTCTACCTTTCAGCTCTTGCAACACATTTTGCACTTGCACCTTTTCAGCATCAGCTGAGGAAGTACTTCTTTTAGCGTAGGGTTTATTGAGCAAAGGACACTGTCAAGCAGAAGTAGCTGCTTAGGGCAAGCTCCAGGAAGGAGGAAATTTTGTCATAGTGGGTACTCCTGTGAAGTTCTGGTGGTGCTAGCAGTGCTAGCAGTGGTGCTAGCAGTGCTCTTAAAAATGTATGAAACTTTTTGACATGGCATGCATAGTGCAGAGTGACTATTTTCTTGTCTCCCTCCTCCCTCCCCTCTCAGACCAAGAAGGTGCCTCCCTACCCCCACCCTCGCCCCTGAAAAAAAAATTTTGCATAGGCCCCTAGTTGTACTGCAGTGCTTGACCAACACATGTTCTTGGAAGCCTTTTTTACAGAAGTTTTCACTGCTGGTGACAGCATTTTCTCACCAACAAAGAAGGTACACTGTAGATAAAGAGTACAGCTTTAAACAAACATCAGCAGAAAGTTGTTTGAAAGGAAGTCCTAGGTCTCCACTAGGCCATCGGTGGAACACGAACAGCTGCGGATGTCGCAGGCTGACTCAGAACATTGTAACCACCACAGTTTGAATTTTATGGCTGTGATACTTCTACTTGTAGATGTAGTCCTCATCACAAAATTTTTTGGTACAAGCGCAGCAGCATAAAAGGTGTCCCAATGAAATCTATACACTAACATATATATATAATGACAAAGAAAAATTTCAAAATTTAGTATAATTGGAACTTATACAAAAACCAGCCATTTATTGAAAGTGTTCAATGTTTTGGCCATTGAGGCCTAGACAAAACTTGTTTACTGGTCTCCAGCCTCACAAGTGGCTTATGAGCAGATTTTAAAACAGATTGCTGAAATCTGTTGGATGAACAATGGTCTTTCAGAATGGTTTTTCTGGACATTCTGTGCAGTTCCTTCTGAAAATTAACATGCAAACGAGCACTTCTGACCCACATTAGTTCCTCTTATTGAAACTTTATTTTGAATGTCTCTGCACTTAAGTTCTCAGTATTCCAGATGCACTTCAGTATGAATTTTTTTTGTAGAAGGGTTGATAGGTGGGCTAGCTGGTATATATACATAATGAAAGTATTGCAAGCGCAAACTAACGGGACACAAGAGAGGAGACAAACAAGCGCTTGTTTGTTTTCTCTCTTGTGTCCCGTTAGTTTGCGCTCCCAATACTTTCATTATGAATTTTCTTTGCTCAAAGTTCAGGCTGATTTCTTTAATTTTCTAAGCCGTCATGTTTCAGCAGAATGGCAGTTATATGCTGTAAAAGAGAGTATTATGCATTCTATTATGGGATGCTTTTTCTCACAGCTTAGTCATGTACATTAATACCACTGTGGTAGCAACTCATGTTTCATATGGTGACAGCAAATGTTGTTCTTCACTGGGATATTGCAAGAAAAATCGAAATTCCTGCAAACTGACTAACAAGTGCTACATTCACTTGTTGGACATGCAAGTAACAACCTGGACTTGAAACAAAAGCTTATCAGTGAACCAAAGGCCATCAGTTTGTCTCTTTTCTGTAATGAAACATGGTGTTTCACATAAAAATCTCTAAAATATGCTCAATATCTTTGCCTTCTCACAGTCTGATAAATTCGTGCCACTCGAGAGTGATAAATTTTTTAGGGTAGGATATTTATATCTACATAGTTCATATCTTGGGTTAATGAGAAGCTTATGCATTCAAAGCGATTGAAGCTTTCAGTTTCCTCATCTTGGCTCATCATGTCACTTATTAGAAATAAATGTTAAAATTGATATA